TTATATGTGCTTTGAGTTTTAGTAATGTTTCTTTTATGAATGTGGATGGCTTTGTATTTGGGTCATAGATGTTCAGAAATGAGATTTCATCTTGGTGGATTTCTCCTGTGATGAGTATGAAATGACCTCCTTCATCTCTTTTGATTGATTTTAGTTTGAAGTCTAATTTGTTAGATATTAGGATTGCTACCCTCCGCTTGTTTCTTGGGTCCCATTTGATTGGAAAATCTATTCCCAACCCTTAACTCTGAAATAAGGTCTGTCTTTGAGGCTGAGGTGTGTTTCTTGTATGCAGCAGAAGGATGGGTTCTGTCTTCGAATCCATTCTGATAAACTGTGTCTTTTTATGGGCGAGTTGAGACCATTAATATTGAGGGAAATTAATGAACATTGATAGCTCATTCTCATTTGTTTTGGAATGGTTGTTGTGGTTGGAATTGTATGTGGATTTCCACCCCTTTTTTCACCTGTTGGTAAAGTGGGATTATTTATTGCCTATGTATTTATGGTTGTAGCTAACTCCCTTGAGTTGGAGTTTTCCTTCCAAAATTTTCTGTAGGGCTGGGTTAGTGGATATGTATTGTTTAAATCTGATTTTGTCATGAAATATCTTGTTTTCTCCATCTATAGTGATTGAAAGCTTTGCTGGGTATAGTAGTCTTGAGTGGCATCCGTGGTCTCTTAATGTTGTTAGGATATCTATCCAGGACCTTCTGGCTTTCATAGTTTCCATGGAGAAGTCAGGTGTAATTCTGATAGGTTTGCCTTTATATTTTACTTGGCCTTTTCCCCTAGCTGCTCTTAATGTTCTTTCTTTATTCTGTATGTTTGGGGTCTTGATTATTATGTGTTGAAGGGATTTTTTGGTTCACTCTATTTGGTGTTCTGTAAGCTTCTTGAAGATTCATTAGCTTATCTTTCTTTAGGTTGGGAAAGTTTTCTTCTATGATTTTGTTGAATATGTGTTCTGCCCCTTTGAGGTGGGTTTCTTCACCTTCTTCTATACCTATTATTCTTTTTTTTTGCTGTTTCAAAAAGCTTTATTTTCATTTGGTCCAAGACCTGGGAGGGTCCCCAGGGCAGTTACAAAGCTTCCTAGTGTCTTGAGAGGTTCAGGTGAAGGTCCTGAGGTTGGCTGGTTCAGAGCAGAGGGAGCCCCTTGGAAGGTGAGGCCTCCTAATCATGCTTGAGAGTGAGCTGCTCAAAGAGATACTTGCCCAGAGCCGGCTGGTCCATGCCAGTCTGTGCTGGCTGGGGGCCAGCCAGCCTACAGATGTTTATCAGGTGGTTGCCCATTTTCTTGAGGAGCTTCACCTTCTCATCCAGGAAGCAAGTCACAGAGATGAGGATCTGTGGGACCAGAACCCAGGGAATGAAGATCCAAGAGGGCCTGGTTCATATTCTTCTCCAGGGCCAAGACAGCTTCCATGGTTTCCTGGGTTTTACCCCACTCATCTTGAGATGGTTTCTGCACATCCTGGAAGAGTGGGTGGCTCCCGCGGTCATTCTGAAAGTTGAGGAGATACTAGGCACCCTCGTGCTTCTCCTTGGCCAATTCATAGAAGAAGTGACCTACACCCTCCAGAGCCATGTCATTCCAATAAAAATAGTAGCCCAGAGAGAGGTAGGTGTAGGAAGCCTGCAGGTGCAGGTTGACCAGGCGGTTCATGGCAGCTTCCACTTTGGTGGAGTAATTCTGAGGAATCTGGGAGGCAATGGCTGATCCACTGTATGGAGCTAACCTCAAAGTGACAGTGCTGACTGGTCCTAGGAGCCGATGGCTTTGAGGAGATGGTCCCAAAGGCTGCTGCTGGAAGCTAAGAGAGAGGGAGTCCCCGGGTCTGTTTCCTCCAAACACTGTTGAAGCAAGACACAGATCCACGGGACCTCCAAAGCCGCTCCTATACCTATCATTATTAAGTTTGGTCTTTTCACGGTGTCCCATATTTCCTGGATATTTTGTCTTAGGGAATTGTTGGACTTAAATTTTTCTTTGACCAATGAATCTAATTATCCTAGTGTATCTTCAACACCTGAGATTCTCTCTTCCATCTCTTGTATTTTATTGGTTATGCTTTCATCTGTAGTACCTGACCGTTATCCCAGCTTTTCTATTTCCAGCATTCCTTCAGACTGTGTTTTTTGTTATTGTTTCTATTTCAGATTTCAGCCCTTGCACTGTTTGAATTGTTTCTTGCAATTTTTGCTTTGTTTTTTCTTCCATTTCTTGCATTTTGGATTGATTTTTCTTCCATCTCTTTAAGGGATTTTATCATATCCTCTTTGAGGGCCTCTATCATTTTCATGAAGTTGTTTTTAAAGTCATTCTCTTCTGGTTCATTTATGTTGGGGTGTTCCAGACTTGCTGGTGTACGGTCTCTGGATTCTGGCTGTGTCATATTGGTTTTTCTGTTGCTCCTTATGTTTTTATATTATCTCCTTCCCATCTGTTCTTGCAGTGGGTTCCAGAAGGTGCCTCTTCCTCTCCTGGTGGATGTGGGACCAGGGTTCCCTTCTGGTGGGTGTAGGCAAGTCCAATGTTCTGGTAGCTCTCCACTTCCTGGTCTCGTGGGTGGAGAAATGGACTAGGATGCTGGGGTGCTTTGGATCCCACTGGGATGGATGGGAGCCCCAGTGGTAGACCCCAGGCACAGGGGTGTGGCCTGGAGACAGGCCCTGCCTGATAGTCTTAGTCACGTGGGTGGAGCAGGAGATTTAGATGCTGGAGTGCGTTGGCTCCTGCGGCAGGGATGGAGCCACAGTGGCAGACACCAAGCACTGGCAGGCATCAGGAGCAGGAGACTAGGGTACCTTGGCTCCCACCACAGTGGCAGAGTCCAAGAACAGCCAGTGTTTCTTTTATAGACCAGCAACACTGAGGCTTTCCCTGATCCCGCTGGGAGCCTGTGCAAACAGATAGGTGCATGGATCACTGTTTAACTTAGTGCCTGCGTAGGAGATGATCACTGGACCATCTCACTCAGTTATCTTTCTGTGGACCCTGTAATGTAATTCACTATTTCATTTGAATACTTTCAATTGCTATTTCACTTTATTAACACTTAATAATTGCATATATATTAAGGGGTACAGTGTAATATTTTAACACATGTATGCATCATGCACTGATCAACCTATGTCATTCTATTTAACGCTTATGTTTTGAGCCTCCTTATTGGCCTGATTTTTATGCTTATAGCCTTTGAGCATCTGTCTTGTAATTCTTCATAATGTTATGATTATCCACTATTCTGTAGAACACTATGAACTATTACTTTTGTCTGACTTCCAATACCCCTTAACCAACCTCTGTCCAGGAGTTCAGTTCAGTGTTTAGCTGTGGGTGTCTGCCTCTGCTTCCATCAGTCGCTATCAGCAACAATTTCTTAATCAATGGGCACTTACTGCAAATAGTGCTGCAATACTGTTTAATAGTCATTTCTTCTGTAATGTATAATCTATTGCAAGAGTTTGGGAAATCAAGGATGTGGAACTGGATTTGTAGTAATTTTCCTATGGACCAACAGTTACTTGCTTATTGAAAAAATACTACCTGTCACATGATGGCAGTCACAGTGCTTACAGATGAGCAAGACTGAACCAATGTCTAACAAAATGTACTGGTACTTTTATAATATCATTTATATCACTTATCAGTGCCAAGTAAAAGGATATGTCAGAATATGAAAAAATTGTCAGTGATGGGCATCTTCATACTGAATTTAAATATGTAGTTTTAAAACATTAATAAAAGCATTTAAACATTTTCAGTGAGTGTGGTGTTTTGAAAGAAGATGGTCCCCAAAGGGAGTGGCACTATTAGGAGGTGTGGCTTTGTTGGAGTAGGTGTGGCCTTGTGGAGGAAGTGTGTCACTGTGGAGGCAGGCTTTGAGAACTCATATATGCTCAAGCCATTCCCAGGTCTCGGTTCACCTCCCATTGCCTCTGGATCAAGACGTAAGGACTCTCAGCTCCTGTTCCAGTACTATCTGCTTGATGCTGTGACCCACTGGGGTGATAATGGACTTCTGAATTGTGAGCCACCTCCGCAATTAAACGTTTTCCTTTATAAGAGTTACCATGGTCATGTTGTCTCTTCACAGCAATAGAAATCCTAATCAAAACAGTGAGGGTAGTAAGTTTCTTGATAGATTTTGAGAAAGCTCCTAGAGCTTGAACTGTGGGAACTGAGGTGAGATGCTTCATGTGTAACCAGAAATGGATGTAACTCCATCTATTGTGAAAGAAAACAATCATAATATGCTGTGTACACGTGCATATAGATGATTGTGTATGTACACAATGTTTGACAATACCAGTGAGAGGGGTGTATTTTAAGGAGCTTAAAGTGCTATAGAATGGTTCTCCATATCCTTATTCCCATTTTCCTATTTCATATTACAGCAAAAAGCTTCAAATTACTATTTCCCCACTATCAAAGCATGATGGCTAATCTTGGTTGTCAACATGGCTGCACCTAAACTCAGCTAAAATCCATGCTCCAGGGCATTCCTGTGAGGGATTTTCTTAATTAGATTATTTGAAGCAGAAAGACCCACCATACATCTGAGCCCCACTTCCTGGTGGTAGCCCACATCAAAGGACACAGAAGAAGGAAGTGTTGCTTTTTGACTGCTTTCCCTCACTCTCCCTGGCAAGTTCATCTATCCTGTTGCTATGGCAGCTATGAAATCCAACTTCTTCAGGATTCCAATGTAGTTTGAAAACCAGCAGCTCTCTAGGACTTCAGCACCAGAATGGGGCTGATGAGACATCCAGCCTTGTGTATGAAACAGCTAATGATTCTGATTCTTGGCCTTTCTGTTGTGAGAAAGTCATTGCTGGACTATCCGGAGCACATTGTGTCAGGCCCCTTTAGTATGTATATTCACACTGTCTATTCTATTCCTTTAGAGAACCCTGACTAAATACACAAAGTATTTATCAGGGTAAAAAACAATCGCTGGTTACATTATTTTGAGCAAATTAGAGAAGAAACATTTGGTATATATGTTTTATTGCTTCATATGGATGTTAACTGGACACATAGAAGTGATTTTTCTCATTTTGTTCCAAATAGAATTCCAAAACACTGCTATTATCTCATAGTCCCAGAATTTTGGAAAGGTTTGACTTGAAAAGATTAAGAAGGAAATAGTTTCAACAAAATGGCCTTTGCTTTGTATAATAATGTAATCTTTTGTTGAAAAATGATGGAATTCAAAGTACACCTATTTCCTTAAAAATCTTTTCTACTGTCACATTAAAAGCTCTTGGATAGTAAGGCAGTTCTTTTACCGTTATTAGTTTCTGTCAGTAAGCTTTATTTTGAAGTATTAGTTTAGATGTATCTAAAGTTTTCTAAGTTTGATGTGCTTTCCTACTTCCTAAAAGAATAGACTAGTTAATCAGGAAGTACTGAATTGCAACAGCACACAAAATGGCAATAAGTGCAAATCCTATCAGAAGGATTAGAACAAAGGTATCATCACTCATTTCTGTCTTGTACTTTTCATCTTTGTCATTGTGGTTGCCTTTTCCTTTGCCTCCACCGCCTTTGCCATGCCCGGACTGATGTTTGTAAGTTGAGAAGAGTGTGCTGGGGCTATATGGCCCCCAGAGCTCTTGCACACCATCAGAATTTTCATATTGGCGTCCGGCACAGACTTTGAAGCGATATCTTGAATTTGCAAGATAGTTGGAAAAGGAAAAGGTGGTGTTCGGTCCTTTGTAAATCTAAAGGAGAAAGGATCAAATGAAAATGATAGTTTCTTTATAATTAAAACTATATTGTATAGTTTTTACAACAAAAGTAAAATTTTACTCAATATTTTTAATGTTCTGAGGGTATTCAGGATTGATTAGATAATTTTGTTCAATAAAGCATAGCAAAATCCTATGACATTCAAGTTTAAGTACTTTATGTATGCATTTGAATCATGGCCTGTGGCCAGTGGAATCAAGAAATACTAAACAATTCAATGGTAATTAGCCAATTAAATGAATAAGCTAGTTTCTCCAAATAAAGATTATGTACATAAATCTTACCAATGAGATGAAACTTTGGGCTAAGATTTAGTTACCTTAAACACATTTAAAAACAACACACTCTCTGCCCAAAGCACTCACCTCAGCTGGACATAGAACTACACATTTTTTTTGAGACAGGGTTTCTCTGCTTAGCCCTGGTTGTCCTAGAACTCGCTCTGTAGACCAGGGTGGCCTAGAACTCAGAGATCTGACTGTCTTTACCTCCCAGTTGCTGGGATTAAAGACATGTGCCCCCGCACTAGCATACTTTTTAAAAACAAATAAACAAAAAACAAGGCCACATAGAGCCCAGGTAACCCTTAAATCTGCTATGTAGCCAAAGAGTACTTTGATCCTCCTGCATTTGCTCCTCAAGTGCTGAGGCTACAGACAAGTGCCACCGTGTCTGGAAGAATGTTAAAGACTAAATTTGAAAGAATATACCTGTTCAGGTTTCTTTCCAGTGATGACTTGAAGACAGTAAATGATGGGATCACCTTTAACTGGTTCCAAGGAATCCCATTTGATCTCACAACTGTTGTTATTCAGTGGATGCAATTTAGGTGCTGGAAAAGGCAAATTACATTTTAGAAGGTTCTGTTTTTTCTCTAAATTATGCTGAATACATTGAAATAACTCATAACCACACAGTCATTACAAGCACATGTAGACCTAATGTGAGAAATATGTAACCATACTTAAAAAGCTATTTATGTATCTTGAGAGATGGTTTCCCCATGTAGTTGTGATAGGCTTGAAACTTGCTACGAAGATTAGACTGGCCTTGAAGTCACAGATATTCACCTGCCTCTGCCCACCTTGGGCTGGCATTAAAGGTGCACACTACCATACCCAACAGAACTATAATTATTATTGAAATTACTTTTGTTATACCATCAGGCCTCATTACTGTAGCAAAACCCTAATGAAGCTATAAATTAATAATGCATGTTTAGATTTTCTATTTATATTCTATACATTTTAATTTTGTTTTTTCCTTCTAGAATTATCTGCATTGTGTTTATATGGTGTGTTGTACATTTAGAAACAATTTCTTCTTTTTTTCCGAAAGAGAGTTGCTCTGGCTGTCCTGGAACTCGCTTTGTTTACCAGACTGGTCTCGAACTCACTGAGATCCGCCTACCTCTGCCTCCTGATTGCTTGGGATTAAAGGTGTGTGCCACTACCACCTGGCTAGAAACATTTTCATATGGATAAGCAATTTTATTTTAGGAGTTCAGCAACTGTTTCAGGTAGGAAGGATCAGGCTATTTCATATCATTAGTCTCTACATTTTAATAAAATGAGGCTTAAATATCAGGAAAAGAAAGCATATTGTCATCAAAGACAATTTGAATGTGGTTCAGTTAACTTTACACTGGAGAAGAATGATTTCATATTAGTGATTGAACTTGGAGCCTAGAGAGATGGCTCAGTTAAGAGCACTGGCTGCTCTTTCAGAGGACCCAGGTTCAATTCTTCGCACCTACATGGCAGCTCACAGCTGTCTGTTATTTTGGTTCCAGGGGTCTGACACCCTCACGCAGACATACATGCAGGCAAAACACCAGTGTACATAAAATAATAAAAATAGTGATTCATCTCATGTGGGAAGATTAGATCAACCAAACATCACAACTGGGAGAGGAAAAATAATCCTCAGACCTGAGGTTCTGAGACCTGCGAACTTATACTCATAGTATAATACATAACATTTTATTATTCCGATTGTAACAGACCCTGAGACCTTAGCATGATTAACTCGATGATGGAAGTACATTCAGGCTGTAAAACTCAGCACATAGATAGCACCACTTGCCCCTAAAACAAAGACCTAATCCACCAAAGCCCATAGTTCTGGGAAAGTCTCTAAAGGCACTAACCTTACTTTTTGGCTTATGTAGTTCTGCTTCTGGCTACTGTTATTTTTAAATGAAAATTGTCAACCCAGGACATGGTTTTTGTGCTTAAAATTCACCCTGAGAAAGGCTCAGTGCTCCTATGGGACCCTAAACACCCAGTGTAGTTTTGGGTCCACTAATAAAGACTTTCTATTGGCTTAAACCCTGTTTGAGCAGTCTTCTCTGATGGATACCCCACGACACTGATAAGGAGAGTAAATTCATAGTTTTAGAAATAAACTTTTTAAAATTTGCATATTAGTTTAGCTTTAATCATTATAGCTATACCTGTCAACTGACAACTTTTTCCATAACATCATTTGAGAAAATAAAATGTGTAGCAATGAATGGATATGACCATGTGGGAGGCATGTGTTTTGTCTACATGTATGTGTGGGCACCCGTGTGTGTGCTTAGTGCTCACGGAGGTCTGAGTGGGCATCAGATTGCCTGGAACTGGAGATCTGGATGGTTGTGAACCACCAAGTGAATGCTGGGAACATAACCTGGGTCCTCTGAAAGAACAACAAGTACTTTTTGAGGCATCTCTTCAGCTCCATGTGATAGTGGTGGAATTAGATGATCTCTAAGATATTTGAAAACATTGATCGTGGAAGTCTTATTAATCCTTTTTATACAATGGTTCTTTGAGATATGGTTTCTCTATGTAGTCCTGGCTGTTCTGGAACTCTCTCTGTAGATAAGGCTTGCTTTGAATTCAGAGATCTGCCTGCCTCTGCTTCCCAAGTGCTGGGACTAAAGGTGTGTGCTGCCACCACCAGGCTTGAAGTCTTAATAAATCTTTCCATTGCTTCTTAAATATACAATTAAGCACTACTTTTTTGGTATTCTACTAGTGAATTTTAAAAATTACAACTGCTATTTTTTTTTGGTTTTTCGAGACAGGGCTTCTCTGTGGCTTTGGAGGCTGTCCTGTAACTAGCTCTTTTAGACCAGGCTAGTCTTGAACTCTCAGAGATCCTCCTGCCTCTGCTTCCGGAGTGCTGGGATTAAAGGCATGCGTCATGAACGCCCAGCCTACTACTGCTATTTTATAAGATATAGTTTAATTTAAAATTTAAATTATTTATTTGTTTTATCTATATGAATGCTTTGCCTGTATATATGTATGTCTGCATTGTGTGTGTGTGCCTGGTACCTGTGGAGGCCAGAAGAGGGTATTGGATCCCCTGGACTGTAGTTAGGGATGGCTGTGAGTTGTCATGTAGGCACTGGGAATCCAACTCTGGTCATCTGGAAGAGCATCCAGTGCTCCTAACCACTGAGCCTTCTCTCTAGCTCCAAGATTTAATTTAATCTTTAAAATCAGCAAACAAAGTAACAGGTTTCCTTACATCATATATTTTTAGTTTTGGTTAATTCCCCATTTGCTGTTCATCTCAATTTCTGGCTCTCTCTTTCAACTTGTACTCACTCCTCAACCTCCAGTATTTTACCTTCCACTTTAATATTATGTGTGTTTTATGCCCTCTCTATCCCCTTCCTTAGAGTCTCTTCCTAGTCTCATGATTTCTACTTTCCTCACCTCTACCCATAATTACTCTCACCTAAATAAACTTGTATAAAAATTTAGAAGCAAGAACTTTCATATGAGAGAGGGAGGACATGTGGCATTTTTCTGAGCCCTGTTGCTTCTCCTGATATAGTATTTTCTAATTACTGCTCAATTTTCAGTATGTGCTGAGGAAGCTTTAATAAAACATTCAGTGTCTGTGTGCATCATTTACCTTTAAGCGCAGCAGGTGGGGTTTTTGTTGTAGTGAAAGTGTAGACATCAGACTGTGGTCCCTCACCAGCTTCATTACATGCCTGGATTTTAAACTTGTACTGTGTATATTCACTCAATTTTTGCACTTTGTGAGTGAGATCAGGCCCATGGTAAATGGCAGAAAATCTGAGAGGAAAAAGATAAAGATTAGGGAAGCAATATTATAATCAATAGTTGAGCCCAAGAAAGTAAAAATAAGACAGAGAGGGAAAACAAACAAAAAGGCAAAAAAGAAATCAAGTCATAAGATCATATACTGTCAAGGCGCTGGGCTTTCTCCTTTTTTCTCATAACTTCTATTCTCTGGTACATACAATGCACTAGGTAAAGGAAAAAGAGGTTAGGAAGAAGGCTTAACCATGGACAACAATTGAAAGTATTATGTCTCACCCAGCAATGGGCTGTTTTCATGCCTACTTAGTTCACTGAAACTACTTCAGATTAAGGTGTGTGTGTGTGTGTGTGTGTGTGTGTGTGTGTGTGTCAGAGAGAGAGAGAGAGAGAGAGAGAGAGAGAGAGAGAGAGAGAGAGAGAGAGAGAGAGAGAGAGAGAGAGAGAGAGAGAGAGAGAGAGAGAGACCATGCCTGGAAAGATACAACAATTTAAACTGGCTTTAATTGCAGTATATGTTAAATGGTAAAAGTAGTTACCTGCCAGATCGGTCTTCCATTAATAAGTTGTAGCTTATGAGGTTGGCAAGTGACTTTTTGCTTGAGGCATTGCCCCATTTGAGCCTGAGACTTTGGTGTCCATAGACTACACAATCAAGCAGTGGAGGCTCTGGTGGTAGTGGTTTGGTTTTACTTCTTATTGGTGGGCTAAAGGGGCTTAGTCCGTAATGATTAATAGCTTGAATTCTGATTCTAATGGTAAAATAAATTAAAATTATTAATTTATATTTAGTAAAGGAAATACGTTTCTTTATATAAACTAACCCACTATATCTCTCTCTATAGAAGTACTATTATATTAGTTATAAGACAGGTTTCCAAGATGGAACTGTTACTGAAAATTATTGATGAGAACAGAAATGGCTCTTACTAATATTCAATTTCACCAGTGAAACAGAACTTTCTGCTCAAAATTCTCAAACTTCCTTCCATTGACCCAAAATAAGATATGAGTGATTTACCTGTATGTAGTATTAGGCTGTAGATTTTTTAGAATACACTCTGTTACTCTATCAACAGTCAAGATTTTTTTATCTCCATATTCGATGTTATATCCGGTGATTGGAGAGCCATGACAGTCTGGTTCCTCCCATTGGATAGCTATGCAAGATGATGACAATTTGGCAGGCACTTTGTCTTCAACTTCTTGTAACATTGGAACGATGGCGGGTACGGTTCCTGGTGTAGTTACTTTTCCAGTTCCTCCAAACATTCCAACCCCAACTATATTTACAGCCTTCAAAAAGGTATGCTTTGTTAGCAATTCTTCTTAATGATTTTCTGTGCATGAACCATTTCGTTGTATACTAACGTGCATCCTCAACTCATAGTCTAACAATTTGGTTCTACGTTGCAGAAACACATGCTGAGACTAGCAGACTGCGTCTTTAGAAAAGTAAAGAGTGCACATGGGGGAAAGTCAGGAATGTTAATATGCGTATTTTAGGAAAATTACACCCCACAAAACTCATCAACTGCATCACTAAGCTTTCCTCCATTCTCCATGCTTGAGTTTCTATCTCTGTTACATTCCCATTCAGTTTCACTAATCTTGAGAAAGTATTATTTTTCATTTTGAGATCATTATAAATGCATACACACATATATATGTACATATATGCATATATATACATACACATATATACATGTGTACATACATACATATATATATATATGTATCTACTTTCTTCTGGAGACAATATTTTCAAAAGTTACAGCTCAGTCCTACAACCAGGAAACCACCACTGATAAAAGCCACTGATGTTACTCAGAATTGTGGGCACTTATTTGTGTGTGTACTTAAGTTTTAGTCAGTAACCATGGCCACTTCAATTCAAAGAAGTTTATCACAGGATTCCATGTACTCCTCTTACAGTCACAGTATCGTCTTACTCTGTCCATCTTCTAACTTCTGGAAACACTAACTGCTAGCCATCATTACTACAATTTTGTTGTTTCCAGAATATTATATAAATTGAATAATGCAACACATAATTGAGGCAGGCTCGGTTTTTAGTTACTGCAATTCTCTGAAGCGCTCTCAGCTATTGTATATAGTAATACTTAGTTACTGAACTGTGTGACACAGTATAGATGTATCATAGTTTATTTAACCACATATCTGTTGAAAGATATCTGAGCTGGTTTTTAGTTTTTGACTCCTACAAATAAACATAAGATGATACTGTGATCTTTTCTGGAAAGGCTATAATTCTCACCAGTAAAGCATGAGTGACCAGTTTCCTTAAGTCTTTGATATCTTTTGGTGTTACTATTATTCCTCAGCTTAGACATTCTAAAATATAGGGAATGGAATTTCCTTGTGTATTTCTCTAATAGTAAAGGATGCTAAACATCTTTGCACGTGCTCATTTGCCATCTGTTTATTCTCTTCAGTTACTAATCTACAAACTCTCGAACAGAGTTATCTGAAATAACTCCTGAATTTTGAAAGTTCTTTATATATTTTAGGTGCTAGTCATTTGCAAGGTATGTATATCGCAAATATTATCTTTCAGCCTGCAGGTTCACCTTTCATGCTTTTTAGAGGGTAGAAAAGCAAAAGTTTTAAACGTTGAGCAGGTCAAATTTACCACTATTTAATTTTGTTGGCTAGCATAGTCTACAGATCAAGTTCCATGCCAGTCAGCTTTACACAAACAAAAAATGCTCCCCTAAAATAAAACAGAAAAAGAAAGAAAAGGACAATGGTGTGACTGGCTGAAAATAAGACCCAGTTATAAGTTGCTTACAAGAAACTCACTTTTCTTCCCCTGAGTTACACACCCTCTTTGTCCAACTCAGCAATATTTAAAAATTGAGTTTTTATTTTTTTTCCTTCTGGGAAAAGGGTATCACTGTCTAGCCTAGGCTACCCTGGAACTTGTGTTTCTCCTGCCTCCATCTCCCCAGTGTTGGGATTCTAACTACCATGTTCAGCTTTGCCTGCTTTCTTTTTCTTTTTTCCTTTTGGTAGCACTGAGCAGAGTTGAGTATGTAACCCAGGGTTCTTTCCTAGGCTAGGCAAGTGGCCTACCATTAAGGCTCACATAAGCCCTATGGTATTGTGATGGCTTAAATTTTACATGGAGTACATTTCAGATTATTTTAAGTTTGTACTTCACCACAAACTTTTAAATTACATATATTATAATTCTAGTTGTTCAGAAAAAAAATCCAGATCACTTCTAGTTGGTATATGGGAAATATTTATGCAAGAACTGGCTTTGAGGAACAAGACAGGCAGAGGGACACAGTTTCTAGGTGGAGCCAATTTGTTCTAAATTAAGATTCTATATAGGTTTTCTTAACTGTAATAACTGTCACTTAGAGAGCAAAAGCACGGCCATCTTATTTTGAAGCAATCCCGTTCCAACCTGAAGAGACCCCTTCTATTTAATTAAAGTAGTCACATTTCCCCTCCATTCCCTCTCTCAAGCTGCTCCTATGCTTCATTCCTTTCAAATCCATGGCCTCTGATTGTTTATTATTGTTACAAACACACACAAACACAGAAATGCAACGTGTGAATCTATTTAGTGTTGCATATATTATATACGTGTGTGTGTGTGTGTGTGTGTGTGTGTGTGTGTGTGTGTTTAACGGTGACAATTTGAGATTGCATGACCTATTTGGGATCTCATCCCTGGAGAAGATGAGATCCCCTCTCACAGCAGTCTTTAATTGCCTGTAGCTCTTCATCTAGGAGTGGGGCCTACGGGATTTCCCTCATTTATGTTGGCAAGTCAACTGGTGTCATTGTGCAGGTCTTGTTTAAGCAACCATATTAGCTCCTTTCATGCCACTCACAGTTTTCGATTTCCCCAAAGTCAATTCTTACACATCCTAGTTGGACACAGCATCTCATCTAACTGATAAGCTATTCTGCCCCACCAGAAAATGCCCAGCCCACTGTCTATCCTGTCACCTATAAAACCTAACCTGTCTAAGAGAAGCTGGTTCTAACATTCTCTTCTTCTGACAAGAGCCCTTAGGTTTTACTGAAATGTATTCTTGTCTTTTCTTGTTTATCTTTTTCTCAGGCACACAAGTTGTCCAAATAATTGCTGGACACCATCAACTGGTGCATACCTCCCTTAAATACACTTCTTCAGTATATTTCAATATACCAATACCCATTTTTCTCCTGTAGGGCTATGGAGACTCAAACACATCATCTTTTGCTTCCTTGTGTTGGACAGCCTCATTCCCAGTATACCTTCCTGCCAAATACTATTATCCTTGTAGCCCTTAAATCCAAGGATTCCTATCACTTCACATAGGGCCTTCACATGGGGCAAGTGTTCAGTTGTTCCCAGTACCCAGTGGTCCTTATCCCTTATTCCCTCCTTTTTCACCATTCCAACACCATCAAAAACTCTCTTCACTTTCTTAATCTCAAGGGTGTTTTCTTTACCATGGGCTTTTCACCTTTACCCCACAGCATCTGTAATCAGGTCTTAGTTCTTCTAGAGCAATTGCTGTAATTAGTTCCAACCTGTAGCCTACTTCTCTAAACAAACTGATGCCATATAGCAGAGTTGGCGCCTTATGTCTCTAACTTAGGCAACTTCTGTTCTCCACAGCCTGAAAACCATGTTCCATTAGTCTGTTTTTTTCCTGTCCTCTCCTCTATTTCCTCCTCTTGCCTCCAGCCTTGTCACGTCAGCTTTCTCTATCTTGCAGTCTCTGTACAGCTCTGCCCTCCAGTATCCCTGACACTCTGCTCCCAGCTACAGACTACACCCTTTTTTGTGACTCACACACACCTCACAATTACTCCAAGACAGTAGATGAGGCCCTTAAGGTTTTTCAGCAGCTCAGTACCACTCCCATTCCTGGGACCCTGGATAAGTTGATTGATGGTAGCACCCTCAAGGACTCCCTTGTTGTGTTCCCATTGTTGAGTGCTATCCTGAGAATCTTAACTGCTTCCATTTTCAGTGAGTGGAGGAGGCAAGCTTCCTCCTTCCTAAGACCACTCCTTAGCAGGCAGAGCTCACTGCACTCACCAGGGTCCTACCCTAAGCCTGGAACACTACAGTCATCATCTATAACTATAGCATCATTCATCCCATCTCCCAGAATTGCGTTAGAATTGCATTTCTTTTTTTTTTTTATGAGACAGGGTTTCTTTGTATTGTTTTGGAGGCTTTCGGTCCAGCCCAGCCTCGAACTCACAGAGATCTGCCTGCCTCTGCCTCCTGAGTGCTGGGATTAAAGGCATGCGCCACCACCACCCGGCAGAATTGCATTTCTTTACACCAAGGCCACCACCAGCATCAATGAGAGGCTTTTCTCCCTTCTCCTCAAAGCATCCATATTTCCTCAAAGGGATGCTATCATTTACTGCAAAGGCAGTCAGACACACAAAGACTTTGTCACCCTGTGGAATTGAATGGCCCATTTCTGGGTTGTCCTAGCAGTCTAGGGTCAGGATAATCCCCACTATCTCTTTCCTTTGCACCTCCTCTCCCCACCTCACCCCATCACACAGGCAGAAATTCAACCAGAGCTTGAATTTCAGGAGCCCTACTGCTACCTCACCAAAATATCCAGCTTAGTATACCTCAGCTGCATCGTGGAGGACAAGAAGGGCTGATGGCATCCTCTCTGATCCACTTCCCAATCTGTCCCTCCTCTTACTAGTCTCCCTCCCCCTCAGACAGGAGTCCTTACTTCCATAGCTTAACCAGATTGTCTTACTACCCACCAGCCACATGAAATCCCATAACTCCTCCATGTTCTCCTCATGTTGGACTATGTTCATCTGTTCCTGGTTGCAGGTAGGGCTTTCCTGTGCCACACCCACTTGCCTTTCCTCAACAGGGAAACTGCACCCCGCCAAGCAGAAAACCCCTGAAATTGATTTTGTGCATAGGATAGCTGGAGTTCAGCAATCAGGCCACTATAATTTCCAGAGATTTCTTACCTGCCTACAACCTCCTCAACATCCCTTCGGGAGGCCATACCAAAGGCCCTCTGCCTGGCTTTCCAAGTCACCCCTGGTGGCCTCTACTCCTCTTTCTATAACTACACCCTCAGTATGCTTGCTCCCTTCCACTGCATTAACCTCCCCTGTCTGTTTAAATTCAGGGTCTCTCTATGTAGTCCTGGCTGTCCTAGAACTCACTATGTAGACCAGGCTGCCACTGAACTCACAGAGATCCAGTTGCCTCTGCCTCCAGAGTGCTAGGATTAAACATGTGCTCTGCCAAGCCCAGCCAATCAACACCTTCAGTCTGGTGAACTCCTTAGACTATCCAAACTGCCAAACCTTAAAACAATCAGAGAACAAAGCCTGATCCCTCAGTTTCCAGGGAACAGGTCACTGTCCTGACTTTCTTTCCCCATGCCCTACTTTTCCCACCCCAGTCCTCCTCTGTCCCTCTCTAACTCCATCTCCACCTGATGTTTGATTCTTAAGCACATTTTCATTAAAATCCTAAAATCCAATACCTTCAACTTTACCTTGGAGGAGTCCCCTCCAGAATGTCAAGCCACCCCTGTGCAGTCTGTCACATTATTAGCTTTTGGGCACTACATTTCCCTTAGAGACACACATTCAATCACCAAATGCAGACATTCCCTCCAGATATCCTGCTTTGATCTTTCCCCTGCCTGGCATACACCATGGGCCTCTTCTGAATTTTCACCCAATCCCACATTTGCCTCCTCTTAATTGGATGGGCAAATGTACTGTTTCCTTTTTGTTCCTCACAAAGTCACTTCTCCCCTATGACGTACCCATGCTGGTCTCAGTCTCCATCAGGGTCTCTTAACAACCTTGGAGTCATGATGGAGTTGGGTAAGGGGAGCTCCATCCTGTGAGAAACTTTGCACTAGTTAAACCTTCTTTCTAAAGAAGTTTTAAAGAGCAACAACAATGTCACACATTAGCTCCTAACAATCCAAGACCAGAGCTGTTCCCTAGCTGCTGTAATCGTGAAGAACCGCCAGGCTTTCCCTGTCTTCTAGAGGCCACCCATGTGGCCTGTGTGTGCACTTCTGAATGAACAGAGCTATTTATTTACCAGTAAGTCATCTCTGGTAGAAATGGTGCACAAAGGTTAAAGGATAGTGGGCTGGAGAGGATGTTTGACAACTAAGAGCACTTGCTGCTCTTCCAGAAGCCCTGTTCCAGGGGATCTGCTGCCCTCTCTTCTGGCCTTTGTGGCTGCCAGGCATGTTTATAAAGTTAGATTAAAATAACTAAAGGAAGCCGGGCGTTGGTGGTGCACGCCTTTAATCCCAGCACTCGGAAGCCAGAGGCAGGCGGATCTCTGTGAGTTCGAGGCCAGCCTGATCTACGGAGTGAGTTCCAGGACAGCCTCCAAAACAATACCTAGAAACCCTGTCTCGAAAAACAAAACAAAACAAAAAAACAAAACAAAACAAAACAAAAAACCCAAACCAAACCAAACCAAACAACACTAGAGGATAGAACCATTGCTCTTCAGTAATTGTCATGATCATTCTGGGATTCCTCTTCCTCCCTTGTTCTATTAACCCTTTCCAGAAGTTTTTGGCTGACAGGATCGCCTCAACTTCTATTAGCAGAGTGAACTCACAAGAGTGCCTTAAAGCTGTCCTCCTCCTACATACCCTTCATTTCTAGGACCGTTGCCCCTCCCTAACAGGAAGTACCATCAGAGAATTGGTTGCCCAGTTTTCCTACCAAACCATAGAGCTTGAATTGTCTTGTCTTGACGACAGCTCCATTCTAACTTGTAGGACCCCTTTTCAAGAAACTAGCAGCTTCAGTTTCATGAAGTCAGACTTTAATTGAATATACCATTCCTGCAATCCTAGTTTATTCACTAACATCATCTCATCTATCCAACAAGACCATTCTGCTCATTCAGGACCCCCCCATCCCCTTTACAAGTCTGAGCCCTATAACAAACCTAGCCAGTAAAAGAAGTTCATTGTCTTATTCTCTTGACTTCTGATGAGAGTCTGTCCCGAGTTTATCTCAAAATAAATCTGTCCTTGCACTGGAGAAGCAGAGGCAGGCAGATTTCAGATATCTGAGTTTGCAGCCAGTCTGGTCAACAGAGCGAGTTTCAGGACATATAGGGCTACACAGAGAAACCCTGTCCTATCTTGAATAACCAAAACCAAAAGAAAAAAGAAAAAAGAAAAAGAAAAGAAAAGAGAAAGAAAGAAACTGATTGTATAGACCTGAATGGGTGTATTTGCTTGTTTTAGCCAGGGTCTCACTATATACTCCAGGCCAGCCTTAACCTTACTATGTATGCCAGGCTGACCTCACAATTGTAGTAATCCTCTTGCATCATGCTCCAAAATTCTGGGACTACATGCATATACTACAGGCCTGGCTGGAGTCAGTGTTTTTAATAAGCATTTTAGGTGATTGCTAAGTTCAGCGAAATTTGAAAACCACAGAAGTATAAAGGAAATACAGCAGATCAAGGTGGACTGGGAAGTACATGTAAGATCAAAATATGGGGGTTTGAATAACACAAGAAGGAACTCCAAATGCTATTGTTAAAGATAAGCAATACTCTTATAAATTCTTCTCTTCTTGACTTTAGTTTGGTCTTTACAATGGAAATGGCACTAGTATTATGTGTATGTGAAGTATAGGTAAACAGCTGTTGCATTTGTTTTATAGTGAAGGAAATGACAGCTCTACCTGGACTCTGCAAAAATATGTGGTTGCTGGAATGAGACCTTTAACTTCATAGCGCAAACAAGGGCCAGTGTAAATCAAATGCATGGAATCTTCAACTTGTCCCCACTGCAGTCGGTAATCTGTGATTTCGGCACCATTGCATTTAGGAATCTGAAAGATGAAATGCACACAGAAGTTCAATTCTTTTTCTGAGTGGTCATTATGTTAGATACTGTGGAGAGATATAACACATGAAAACTTGTAATCCATCAAGTGGTACAGGGAAGAGATGGGTAGAAACAAACACAGACAGGACACTATAATAACATAGAAGGCATAAGTTAAAGTAAGAAAAAGAACTTGCTAGTCTTACATGCCAGATGAATGAAAACAAATATATTAATATTGTTTAATATTCAGTTGGTTAGTGTGATAAATCACTAATCACATGCCTTAGTGACTTTGGCCATTATAAGTTAAAAATCAGCTCTTCCATGCATTATTAACAGACTAAGCCTGTTTTTTGTCAATGTTAAAAAAATCAAAACAAGCCACTGCTTGAGACTGGGGTAAAAAGAACAACCCAAACAAACATATATGCCTAAATAATTAGGTTGATTCCTATTTTTTAAAATAAACAGTATATCTGAAATATTTAAGTGACTCCCCTTCAAATATTTTTTAAGATTTATTTATTTATTATGTATGCAGTGTTCTGCCTGCATGTATGCCTGCAGGCCAGGAGAGGGCACCAGATCTCAATACAGATGGTTGTGAGCCACCATATGGTTTCTGGGAATTGAACTCAGGACCCCTGGAAGAGCAGTCAGTGCTCTTAACCTCTAAGCCATCTCTCCAGCCCTGATTCCTATTTTTAAGAATTTAATTGCTTTGGTAAGGAAGTCACGTGGTTGTTGAAAGTATATATTTTAAATCCTTAACATTCCTTGTGTACCACATTGTAGTCACGAGTTAGAGATAGAACCAGAGGATTTCCCAATGAATTTCTTTGAAGAATACTAAGTCCCGGGCTGGGGATATTGTTCAGAAGTAGATTTCTTACCTAGCATGTATGAAGCCCTGTGTTCAATCCTTAGCACAACAAAAAGTTAAACTTCTTATAAATTGATTTACCTTTGCTGCCTCTTGCATTAGCTTTAAAAATTCAATTGGTTACCCACTGATGGTCTATTTTGATTCCTGAATTTACAATTGAGATCTCAAGAGTAGATTATCAGATCCGTAGTCTTTATGATATCATTGGTATCAAGTCTTAGGTATGTTCTAGAAACCACAGTCTGATGGGTATGGGATCCTAATTCTAATCTATGATTCATTAGAGATTTCAGGTTTTTTCCCCCAAAATTTTCTAAGCCATTGACATGTTTGTGTAGCAGCAAAATTATAAGAAGTTGAATTGGTAACATACTTCCCAACTGACAATAACACAGGTTGAACCCTTGCAGGTTAGCACAGGTGTACCACACTGAGAAGGAGGGTGCCGGGCTGGTACAGTTCCACACTTCATTGAATGAGATCCAAGCTACAAATTAAACAAACATACAAATAAACAAACACATGCATGACTTCGCAGGCATGGTTACTCCTCACCTTGACAAGTGCAGTGCAAGCATGTATTCATTCAAAGTGAAATGAAGTACAGGCGGGTCACCTGGTTGTAGTCACACCTGTGGGTTCTTCAGGAATTAATTTACTTACCGCACATTTCTTTTCAGAACCAGGGCTCTCCTTTCTGTCATTCCGGGGGCCACTTGCTTTTTTGCCACGCACCACTGTTTCCAAGTTCCCATTAACAGCACGATTGTCTACAAAATACGTAAAATGCACTCAGTTCCCTCATTCCCAATTTAGTTATATTGATACTAGTGATTGAGCCCAGTCTTGTTTATACTAAGCACATACACTATCATTTAGCTCCACACCAAGTCCCTAGTTTTTAGGGATGGTACTTTAAAAAAATACGACATACCGTAGAGTGAGTTAAGAAAACTCTTTTAAAATGCTCAGAGACACAAAGCTTATTGTATCTTAAAACAACCTCATAATTTGACTCAAACATTAAAAGTTAGATTTCAATTATCAATAACTGGTTTGCTAAGAATTGTTCAATTTAGACTAAAAGGAAATTCTACTTGATAATATTAACACATGCACACAAATCAAAAGTCACGTGACAGGAAGCTTAGGTGCAGTTGTCAATCACATAAGGAAGCCTTACCAAGGAGAAAGTTGCTGCCTTTGCACTTGGTTTTACCATTTAAGGGCAGTGAACGAGAAGACTCAGGAGGCAGAGTAGGCGTCTTAATTGTCAATACATCAGAAGGCTAAGAGACACAGAATATTTTACTATTATGCTAAATTCAAGATCAGCTTTGGAAAACATTTATTAACATAACACTTTATTTCAGTCCTCAACTTGAGAACTTTCCCCTTTCTGTTTTCATACCTGGCTTTGGCCTACAGGTGAAGTACAAAAGACTCTCAGTTTATATGTGGTTCCTGGTTGGAGGTTATCATACAGAAATTCCTGGAGAGTGCCATTGTAGATTATCTTCCAGACATTTGCTGGAGGAAGAAGAACAAATTGGTTCATAAGTCACATAAATTTTATAAGTCCCATAATAATTAATGTATGCATGATATATGGTAACAAACAACCATTTTGGAAAATAATTTGATCCAATAATCTTTATTTTGGTGGGGGATGTTCAAGACAGGGTTTCTCTCTGTAGCATTGGCTGTCCTGGAACTAGGTCTGTAGACCAGGAAGAATTCACAGAGATCTGCCTGCCTCTGCTTCCCAAGTGCTGGGATTAAAGGTGTGTGCCACTACTGCCTGGCTAAATCCAATACTCTTTTTATGATTATTAAATTATTTTATTCCCAGTAGAACTAAACAAAAATGTAAAGGATAAGTTAATAATGATTTCTTATCAAAACTTGAAAGAATCAAATTACATTCTGGGATTTGATTTTATAGGTGTATATTATATTGCTTTTTCTGGTTCTGGTAATTGCACTCTAGTTACACAAGACACTACTATTAGGTGAAGCTAAGTCAAATTTTTTGCAGGGCAACCCTGTGCTATTTTTCATAACTTCTAGATGAGTATAAGATTATTTCAAAATAAAATATTTTAAAATTCATGTTGTCTTACCACCATCTGAGTTTTTACTGACTTCTAAACTGTAACTTGAAATGTGCATTCCACCATTATCTTTGGGGGAATCTAAAAAGAGAAATACATTATAAGTGATTCTTGAAAAAACTTGTGAGTCTTTCACTAAAATTTTATCTCATAAATTATAATTTCTCATAGAGAAAATATAACTATGGAACAATGATATATTTATATTGACATACTAATAACAATCTCAAAACATAAGATAAGCTACATACATTTGATATCACTCATCAAGCATTTAGATAGTATTTCAAAGTTCTTGGGAAGAAACTAAAATTATAAGAATGTGTGGAATAATTTTCATTTATCTGGTTTAGAGGCAATCAATCTGTATAAATAAAATTTCTGGTTAACATGACATTTATCTATGACACAGACTTCTTACTATAGTACCTCTGTTGGATATAATTTTACTTGGAAGAAGGTTATTTAAGGATCCATATAAAACTCAAAAGTTTGTTTATATGTGACTAATTAGGCTAGCAATAAGAAATTCAATGGCAAATTAGAAAAAATAATAGGGTTTACAACTAAGCTCATTATTATGGCAGAATATTTCACATGCAAATGAGAATATTTTAATAAGTTTAGGGAAATTGCAGAAAGATTTCTTCTCAGTAGTAAATATGGAGAGAACAAAGTTTAGAAATAGAAGAATTATTTACCCCAACCAATTTTTACTTGATGTGCATGGATTGTTCCCACTACATATGGTTTTTGAGGGTATCCAGGCTTGGCTGGACAAGTAGAATATTTTACTTCTCCACTGGAGTTGCTTCTTCCTTCTAGATTGTAGGCAAAAATCTGTATAAAAGAGGATATTGTGTTGAACACTGGAAATAAATATCTGGTTTGAAAATGTGTAGTGTGTCAGCTGAGTGAGAATTTCCAAGAATTAAATACAAAGTGAAGTTTCATTTTAAAGAAAAAAACCCAGCAATCAGTTTCTTTTTCTGGTGAAGAGTTTAATCTTATGTGAAAAACAACACCAATTTATAAATCATGACACATACCCGAAACTTGTATGCAGTATTTCTCTGAAGGTTTCTTACGGTGCAGGAGAGGTCTTCTCCATTGTATTTAGGTTTAAACCCCAACCCCTGAAAATGGAGGACAGTGAATTCAGGAATGAAGCCTAGGTTCTAGGCCTAGCTTCAACTTACTGTCTACCTGAATGGTTTTGAGAAAGTTCCTTAGTCTTTCTGAACCCAAAGGGTCTACACCAGGTCCTCTGCATATATATTATGCTGTTAGCTTGGTGTTTTTGTGAGACTCCTAACAGTGGGAGTGGGTGTGTCTCTGACTCTTGCCTGCTTTTGGGATTTTTTTTTTTGCTCCTATTGGGTCGCCTTGTCCAGCCTTGATATGAAGGCTTTTGCCCTGTCTTATTGTATACTCTTTTGTTGTGTTTGGTTGTTGTCTCTTGTAGGCCTGCTCCTTTCTGAAGGAAAATGGAGGGGGAGTAGATCTGGGAGAGAGGTATGTGGGGGGCTGGGGCTGGAAGGAGTGGAGCTATGGTCAGCATGAAAGAAGAATCTATTTTCAATAAAAACGGAGATAATTTTTATTTTCAAAGGTTCCATTTTTAAAGATGTAATGACATAGTATATGTAGAACCAACTAGCCTATTAATTAACAACCCAGAACATGTCTTAATGTTATCTATTTTTTTTAAAATTTGGTAACATGTACATAGTAATTTGTGGCTACTTTTTCTTTTCTTTTTTTTTTGAGACAAGGTTTCTCCGTATTGTTTTGTAGGTTGTCCTGGAACTTGTTCTGTAGACCAGGCTGGCCTTGAACTCACAGAGATCTACCTATCTCTGCCTCCTGAGTACTGAAATTAAGGACGTGTGCCACCAACATCCGGCTTTGTGGCTGCTTTTTAAATGACTATCTCTTTGACAGAGATTTGAAAATTCCAAATGGAATGAAATAGTTGCCCATGCACATGAGGAAACTGAGATGAAGAAAGGACAGCTTGGCATAACTTGTTAAGGTGCTGAAAGGTTTGCGGGACTACAGAAAGTCATCCAGAACAGGCCTGGAGCTGAAGATGCTAACAGACTTCTTTGGCTAGAGACGGAGTGGAGCACAGAGGCACTGCTCTTGCATTAGCTAGCTGCAGGATGAGGGGGGCCTATGCAGACTTGCCCAACAGTTGCTCTGAACCTGGACTCAAGGTTGTTCTTTTTCTTTTTCTAAATGAGAAGTGAGTGCAAAAAGAAGTATTGAAAGATGAAGCTAAAGATCATAGTACAAAGAAAAAGAAAGAAACTTACAGATCTTGGTTCCTCCATCTCTAGTACATAAGTAAGAGTGTCATTTGGATTTGGGTTTGTTGGGGCACACCATTCTAGCGACAAACTGTAGACTCCTGCTTCTTTCAACTTAGGTGGCAGCGGTGCTGGAGGTGTGTTTCCTGATGTATAGAAGACCGCTATTTCACTGAAGTTACTAAAAATAGGTTAAAATGGGAGCGTCAGTTTCAGGAACTCATGGCAGTATAGAGCTTTCAATAGTGAAAATTAGTCAGTGTACCTGAAGCCGAAGTTATTTTTGGCAGCTAATCTGAATGAATACTTCGTGGAAGCCGTCAGTTTAAAAATTTTGTGCTGTTTCATGGGACCACTGTAGCAACTTTTGAACTCTTCACCTTTACCCTTGACAATGCACACAAAATATTAGAATATTTAAAAATACTTAATTTAACAATACATACGCATTAATCTTTCACAATCAGGTGATTTTTTAAAGGTAACTGTGCATCAGGTCTAAGCCAGATGGTGTCCCAGTGCTGAGAGGGGACTGCTTACAAAGAGAAATTTAATTTTCTCCCACAGAGTTTTACTGGATACACAAACCATACAAGGGTAAGTCCAATGCCCAGCCATAGTTGGCTAATACAAAATGAACTCAACGGTAATTTTGGAGGGTTTTTAGTGACTCATAATGCTTTGTGGGGACATTAAAAACAACCTATAGGTCTTTTCTTATATATTATGGTTTCTGTTTTGTGTCTTTATGAGATTTCTGTGTGTGAAAATGTGTGTGTCTCTGTGCCTATAGGTGTTTCTTTTTCTTTGGCTCTTTTTTCTGTTCATTTGTTTGTTTTGTCCTATTCAGATTTGTTTGTTTTAATTTTACCTTATTTTTCTTCTTTCTTTTTTTAGATGCCTGTTTTCTAAAGGGAGAGAACAAGAAAGGGGTGTGGATTTGCATGGGGAAGGAGATCTGGAGTTGAGGGAGGGGAAAAACTTATCTGCATATATTATATAAAAATATTTTAATAAAAAATAAATTACATACCTCATCCCATTCCAAAAGAAAGCTGCTTATTTTGGATCCATTGTCATTAGAACCCTGAAAGATCAGAATGGTAAAATTATGATGTGTTATTTTTACATACATACATATTTATGTACATATGTGTATACATTTAAAGTCATATAAATTACTGCAAACATATCTTGTTTTCATGGCAATTCAAATTTAAGGTTAAAACACATGGTTTCCAGTCTACAAGACACACACTGATTCTGTACTTTATGTTTTCAGACTGCATAAAAGGAAGGAAATTAAAATTCATACCTAAGGAAATGGAGAAGTAGATTTATTGGTAACTGTGATGACTAACATCAAAATGTAAGTTCTGGAAAGGGACAGTTGACTTTTTATTAATTACCTAAGTTATATTGACTTTTTATTAATTACCTAAGTTATATTGACATTTCTCAATTCACTTGGCAGGACCTCTTAGATAGAAGAGAAAGACGAATAAGTTAGATGGAGCATGCATAACCTGTCTTTAGAACTCAGGATACAGGAGAGTATTTTAAAGTCACATCTCTGAGATGCTTTTGTCAAAAAATCCTTACTTTCCACTGTAGATTCAGGCTGTTCTTGGTTCTGCTAATTAGTTTGGGTGCAAGTGGAGGGTCTGGTTCACAGCCAGGTGTTGTGAAGCTAACTGCTTCAGACACACTTCTGTGTTCTCCGTCTCTTATGGTTGTAACTCTGAAAGGGTAACAGCGATTGTTGTAAGCTTTCAAGTACTGAATTGCAAGAGTGCATTTCTAGACGCATTTCTTTGCTGTTCTTTTATTAACATATATTGATTATACATAGTAATGGTTTTAAGCATGACATTTCATATATGATCACACTCCCTTCTTCCCTATTATGCTCTTTTGCTCCCTTCCTACTCCCACTGACCCCTTTTTTCTTCGTAAATAGTTCCTCACTTTCTACTTTCCTGGCTTTTCTTTTCTAATGAGTTTAACTAGGATTGCTTGCCTGAGTATGGAGGTGGGGTTATTTGAAGTGGCAGGTAGAGGCACTTTGCAGATAAATAGCTAGGCTGACTTCAGGAATTCTAAGTACTAAACTCATATAGGTTAAGGAGACTCGGTAGGTGTGTAGGATAGAGTTCTTACCTTAAAAAGTAGACTGTGCAGGGCTGTAGGTCATGTAGCGCCATAGTAACTTCTTTACCACTACGAAGATAACCTTTGTTTATATGGGATCTCACGTATATTTAACAGCTAAGTAAGCAGTCCTAGTCTCATAATAACTGGTAAAGAACCACAATTTTCCTTGAAGTTTGAATAACTTTAAATCACTTTATATCTGTGCAAAATAATGTTATTAGTAGGCTATAGCTTCCTGTGAGAAGCAGCAGTGCCTCGCTAAGCAGACCACGTTTCTGAGGGATGTGATCCGGAAGGTATGTGGTTTTTACTAGCTAGTGGACAGACCACAGAGCTTCTCTAAGTTTCTATGGCAGGTGCTCAAGTTCAGAAAGTGGGGATGTCCATCTGCACATCTGCACCAAGAAGAAGCTGGAGGAGTTTAGCAACGTGCTGGTAGTCATCAAGAAAGTGGCCACTAAGAATGACCAAGTTTGTCCTGTCCCTTGCATCAATACATCTTTATACCAAACATCAAAAATCATAATACTAACTCAAAACAATTAATTTGCATTTATTACTGTATGCACTTAATCAAAATAGTACAGATTTACTTTTAAGTAGCTCATTTAAAAGAATGTAGATACCAAAAATCTTCAAAGAACACCATGTCTCAAGCAATTCATTCATTCAGTTTCAGAGGGATGTTTCTGAGATGGGACCCTATCTGACCACAGGAACAGAGGGCTTATTCCTGAAACTATGTCTTCCTGAGCAAACACCTAAGTCTATTTCACCACACCATGGAATTCCTAAAAAGACCCCTCTAAAACCAGAAAGGATTACTACTTCTAAGCAAAGGCTAGTTAAAAGTCTTTAAGGGTAATCAGAGGTGTAAGCAAAGAGGTAACCTCCTCTTGCAGTGGCCCCTCCTCTTCCCCCTCCTTTCCCTCCCAATGTTGAAAGCTAAGTTCTATTTCTTTTTAAACTAGTGATGTGTGTAAAGTGCATGACATGCCAGAAAAAGATTTCCATGCAAGTTAATTGTGCATTTCCCTGTCTCCTACCCAGTATATATGATTGTGGGCTATGATTCTTATATATATATATATATATATATATATATATATATATATATTTTTTTTTTAATTTAAATTAGAAACAAAGTTGCTTCACATGTCAATTCCAGGTCCCTCTCCCTTTCTCTCCCCTCCTCCCACGCCCTCCCACCAACCCCCCCCAACATCCCCTCATTTCCCCAGGGAGGGTGAGGCCCTCCATGGGGGTGTCCATAGTCTGTCATTTCATATAGGGCAGGGCCTAGACCCTTCCCCAAGAGTTCAGGGTGAGAGTGCATCTCTCATTGTTGGATGGGTGCCCAAAGTCCATTTGTATACCCGGGATAAATACTGATCTACTACACAAGGCTCAATAGATTACCTAGGCCTCCTCACTGACACCCACATTCAGGGAGTCTTGATCAGTCCCATGCTGGATTCCCAGGCATCAGTCTGGGATTCAAGAGCTAACCCTTGTCAGGTCAGCTGTTTCTGGGGTTTAAACCAGCCCAGTCTTAACCCCTTTGCTCATCAGTCCTCCCTCTCTGTCACTGGATTTCTTGAGTTCAGCTCAGTGTTTAGCTGTGGGAGTCTGCCTCTGCTTCTGTGATTCTTAAATCTCATAACTTTATCTGCTAGTTATCAAATAAATAAATTTTACTTTGAGTATCTAGCCCAAAACGAAAAATTCTAGAAAATAAAGTTGTCGGGTATGGTTTTCAAAGTATTGTATACCGTTTCTTGTTTATTTTCTGCCTAAACTGAACAGTGGGTGTAAGATTGTCTTTCCCTTTATTTGAATGTCTTTCCTTCTTTGTTTTTCTCTGCTTACATCTTCATCCAGGCTGACTGCTGTTCAGAACATCTGGGTGTGTGCATGCTATCTTCTACTGTATTCTCCCTAGTCCTGGATTTATCTTTCGATGAACTTATCCTGCTATTGTCACAACATCTTTTTTATAACCACCTCGCAGAATTTAATTCCTAGCAGGGTTCACATCTTGAATTCCCACTGCAATGTAAAATATCTCTCTTGTTTATATAAAGACACCATCACATTTCCTAAAATGAACCAAGTGAAAAATGAGGAGGAATTAGAGGTTTGTTTTTTTATTCTCCTTAAGATCAAATTTGTCTAATAGGAAGCCTGCAGCCGAAAATGGATGAGCTGCTATCTAAATAACATACTGTGATCTAATGAACTTTGTGAATTGATTTGGGAACCTACTACTAGAAAACTACCCCAGTCAAAAAGAAGAATTTTGGAAAAAACCTGAAGAATTTAGCCTAGGTATAAGTTGGGTCATAATGACTATATGTTTATACAGTATACTTGAACTGAATAATGAGAAATAATTAAAAAGACTTACGTATAAATGTTTTTATAGATTCCATTTTTACCATTGCTAGACAGTGCCAATTCAAATGTCACAGGAGAATTAATATGGTCACTGTTTTCAGTACTGTTCCGATTCCATGAAACAGTAGCAGATCGTGTTTGGATGTCAGAAACCTAAAATAATGAAAATGCAGGGAGTATACTTAAAAATCATAATCTGTAATTTTGAATACAGTATTTTCTTAAGTCTTGTTTGATATTAGGTGCAATTATCATAATAGGTGCTGAGATACTGTGATTAAAAAAATTAGTCATTAATTTTTTAAAATGATGCTGCATTGGATATTATTGCATTGCTGAAGAAGTTCATGAAAATTTTAATGCTGTAAATGTTTCAAATGCATCCTCTACTAAAGAAAAATAAAAGTGAATTTTCAGGGTTCAAACAGAAAAGGTTAAATCATGAAATCATCACTTTTGTTACTTACCACAGGTTTTTCAATGTTGAAACAGCATGGTTGCGTTCTGTACTCTGTATTGTATTCTAAAAGTAAGAAAAAAAACCCACCTCAAACAAAATAATATATTGGCAAAAACAAGAGAAAAAAGTTAGATGTATTATCACTCTACAAACACATCAGCACAATGAAAACTACTAAGACCTAGTGGCAACTTACATAACACACTTAAAACAGAACCTGGTGAAAATGTGTATTAAACTCTAGCAGGATATTTACAAAATTCCTCAACTTAAATAAAATCAGACGAATTAAGTAGGATTGAAACTTGCAATGTTTCATTAGAAGACAACTAAAAAAATTTCAAGGACATGCAAATTTTATAAGAAGATATATATTTTAATGTGTGTATTTGTGTGTGTTGCTGGAAACTTAATCCAGAACCTTTGGTATATTACACAAGCACTCTACCACCAAGATGCGTTCTAACACTTTTCATGCTTTTAAAAGGCAGCCTAACTATGAGTTTGCATACACCATTTGGCCTTGAAAAGTAGAATGAGAGTTCTGTCATTTGCTACAACATATATAAAGTCAAAGGACATTATACTAAATGAAATAAGCCAAGCACAGAAAAACAAATACATCATGTTCTCACTTATATATAAAATTTAGAAAAGTTCAAAGAAATATTACCAGGAGTGGGGTAGAAGTTAGAGAATGGGTTATTGCTGAACAAAGGGAATAACATTTCATATGGGAGAAATAGGTTTTGAGAGCTACTGCATGGCAGGGTGACTCTGGTTAATATAAGGTATATTTCAGTATAACATACATGCATTTCAAATGTTTCAACATAAAAAACCTGGTTGGTAAGTGAGATGACAGATGTTAGTTACACCTACTAATTTCACATATTTATATATATTATATAAGTGTGTCAAAATGTAACACTGTAATTTATAAATGTATGTTTATTATTTGTCAACCAATAATAAGTTAGAAACACATGGAGGTACAAGTACAATGAGGTTAAGAGTAAGCAGAAGCAGAGAATGGCACGTTAATATTTAAAGTGGACTGGCGAGGTGACATTGGAAAATAATGGTGCTTTCCACCAAGCAGTATGACATGAGTTTGATCCGGGGACCTGTATGCTTGAAACGAGAAAACAAACACCCACAAGTTTCCCTCTGATCTCCCTCATTCACATACTACACAGACTAAATAAATAATTATGTATAATAGAAATTTATTTAACAATGCATTGAGAGTTCAAAATATTTGACTTGAGTACTCATTGGCAACAAAACTGGATTCCTGGGTCCACTGATCTCCCTTGTTCACATACATAGAGTAAATAATTATGTGTAGTAGAAATTTATTTAAAAATGCATTGTGAGTCCAAAAAAATTGACTTGAGTACTCATTGGCAACAGAACAGGATTCCTGGGTTTACCTTTTAGGGCTGCATTTGACGACTGTTTCTTCTTTTGTTTTCCACCTGACATCTGCTTATTGTCTCCACCTCCCATATTATTCTCTCTCTTTCCATGATTATTTTCAGTATAAACCCTGGTATTGCTGGAAATGCTGGCAGCACCAGAAGGTCTGAGAGCATTATTAATTGAAGAGGGGATATGAGTATTTTTAGAGATTAAAGCATTGTGAGTACTCTCGGAAATACCGCTTGGAGTACTATCAGTATTTGATGATTTTTGAGTTCCATTAGAGGTGACTGGATTATGACTAATTCTGGAAGAGCCTGGAGCATTATTAATGGTGTCAGAGCAAAGAGTAGTGTTTGATGTAGAAGTATTAGGGACATGATCAGAGGAACTAGCGATTTTGTCAGTAGTGTTAATGTCTGGAAGACTGTCAGCAATGTAGTTTTTTGGAGTATTGTCGATAGCGCAAGTGCTTAAGATGGTATTCAGAGAGCAAGTGCTTGAAGTATTGTTATCAATGTCAATGCCTGGAGTGTAAGGATACAGAATACTAGAATTAGATGACATGTCAATGGTTTTGTTCAGAAGCAAAGGAGTGTCATTAAACATGGAGCTAGTCTTAAGTTCACCAAATTGGCGATCTCTTATTTTCTTCTTGGAATATTCTCCCATTTTAACAGTCCTTTCATCAAATTGGTTATAATTTACTCTTCCATGAGGATAGGTTTCTAAAAAAGATAATGTGATGATAATGTTTAGTAATTATAATAATCATATTCTCTCAAGTTCTTCTACTTAACCATCAAAATAACACTGATAAATAATGCTTTACTTATTTTTTACCTTACTTCAATCTGGATATTTGGTATTCATGCATATGTTTTATGCATATGTATTTATGATATTCTGACAGGTATGGAAAATATGAGCAAATACAGTATTTTCCTATTTAGTAACTTCACTTTCCAATCTTAAAATCTTATGATTTTGATGATAATCCTCCAGTGCCTTTTTGTTTTGTTTTGTTTTGTTTTGTTTTTCTTGTTTTTTTTTGGTTTTTCGAGACAGGGTTTCTCTGTATTGTTTTGGAGGCTGTCCTGGGAACTCACTCTGTAGACCATGCTGGCCTCGAACTCACAGAGATCCACCTGCCTCTGCCTCCCTAGAGCTGGGATTAAAGGCGTGTGTCACCAACGCCCAGCCCTCCAGTGTCTTTTATATTCCCAATAGATAGAATTAAATTATGATTTTCCAATCTGATTTTATAGACCAGTCAGGAAAAATTTGTACCACAAATTACATGCTACATAGAAGCAAAATAAATATTTATAAAAATAGAGTTTAATGAGTATTTTACTTAAGACATAAACTTTAGGCATTATAAGCATTTTATCTAGGGACTATCATCAGCTCTAAGATGTATACATGATATATAATCATTCATGAAAATATTATTATCTTCTACCTTCTCTACTTTTAATGAACTGAAAATATTTCATTTTTTCCACTTTTAGAAAATTTTGTTTCGAATGGCACATATTCATTGTATTGTAGTGATGGGTTCCATAAAACAATTTTCATACAACTATATCGTGTACTTTGCCCATATTTACCACCTTACCTTCCTAGTTCTTCCCCCTCCCACAACTGCTCTTGTCTATTTTTTGAGATGGTCCTTCTTTTTCTCCTCCTCCTCCACCTCTGCCTGCATTTCTCCTTGAGAAAAAATTACACACATCCTAGGCAGGCCTCAAACTCCAGCAAAGGATGACCTCTAACTTCTGATTCTCCTGCTTCCACCTCCAGAATGATGACATTCTAGGCATGCGCCACCATGTCTAGTTTTATGTGGTCTCAGAGATGAACCCCAGGTCTTTGTGCATGATAGGCAAGTACTCTATTAGCTGAACAATATTCTCAATTCCCAGATAGTCTTGCATTTATGTCCATGTCACATCTATATTTGTATCTCAATGACAATGTTTTGCATTTAAGAAAGGAGTATACTGGGGTTGGGGAGATGACACAATAGTTAAGAGCACTTTGTACTCTTTCAGACGATCTGAATTTAATTCCCAGAAACTACACAACAGCTTACAATTGCCTGTTAACTCCAGTCCCAGAGAATCTGATGCCCTCTACTGGTTTCCGCACACACCCCCACGGTGCACAGGCACACATGCAGGCAAACACTTAGTACAACTAAAAACAAAGAAAATCTCAAAAGAAGAAAGGGTACACTACCATGATGCTCCTGGTACATAAATGTTGCTGGTGGTGGTAGCAGTGGCGGTGGTGGCAGCGGTGCAGGAGGTGGCATCTGCTGTGGAACAAGTTCTTGCATGTAAGGTAATGGAAATTCCCCTTGAACTGGGGGATACATAAGTTGAGGGGCCTGTGGGTATGTGAACTGTGGTGCTGCTATGAAGGGTGACAGTTGATGCACAGGAGCACTCAGGGGCATGTTGTGGTCAAGTGTCTGGGGCACAATGATAATTTTCTGAATTCCATTTTCTTCCACAACCTAAAACAGAAGACAGGTCATATGTACATATGAAAATCCATAGAAATCATTATGTTTTAGATTTCTGTTAATTTGGAAATCTAAAGCATTAAAGGCCAATAATCAAGAAGGCAAGATCATTCTTCTTTTTCCCCAGGTATTTTGATGTTATTTGAGACAAGGTCTCACTAGGAAGTCTCTGGAACTCATTGTGTAGACCAGGCTGACTTCAAACTCACAGAGATCCACCTGCCTCTTCTGCCTCCTGAGTACTGGGATTGAAAGTATATGTATCACCATGTTTGATTGTAAGTAGCTTTTTTAAAAAAGAGGTTATTTCTGACATATGTCATAACCTTAAAGAGTACCATATAATTTAAATGTACCTTTACTAATCTTTACTTTCTCAATGCTTCACAACTGGAAAATACTGTGACTTTCTTAAGAACATTTTTAAAATTTCTTGTTTTCCTTCTTTTTATTATATCACAGTAGATTTTTCCTATTCTGAGCTTTCTATTTTTATTTATCAATACACATTTAAAGACTTTTCTCTATAGCTATATAATTATCACCACACCCTCTTTTTGAGACAGGGTCTCACTATGTAGCTCTGATTGTTATGGAACTCACTATGTAGACCAGGCTGACCTCGAACTCACAGAGATCTGCCTGCCTTTTCCTTCCCCCAGTGCTGGGATTAAAAGCGTGCACCACCACCCAGCTCTATTTTCCTAATTGTTTGCTTAGTTTTATAGTGCTCTATTATTTGCACATATTGTACAGTCACTTAATTTATAGGCTTCAGGTTCATTTTCAAACCTTTGTGATTATAAACAGCACTGTAAGAAATATTATATATTTGATATATAATTCCAAAGTTGTAAAAGTGTGTCTGTCTGATAAAGACTTTATTTATTAAAGAATTTAAAGTGAGATCGCTGAGTGCAAGCACATGTGCACTAATATTTTTATTAGTTATTTCCTTACAAGTAATTTTGTTAAGAATTGAAGTACATTATACTAACTTGTTTGGCATGTTCTGCATGTGCACCACTATTCAATATACACAACCAAATAAGTTATGAAGACAAAGGCTATGAAGTAGGATAACAGGACGTCTTCTCAAGTACTATATTTCCAGGGCCATTGCATATTTTCTTAATCTCAATTGGAGTGCTATCTGCCTGCTCATTTTAAGTGCACAATAAATATTTGAGGATGTTCTTAAAAGTTTTCTTTGGTCTTTAAGAATGAAACACTTCTGAGTTGAAAATACTATGCGATTTTAAAGACTAAAGATTATAGATTATCAGACGCCACTACTGTAAGAATTGTAATGGTACTTAAGGTGGATTAACAAGCTCTACAAAGCAATGGAAATTATTAAATATTACATGATATAAATTCAGTAAACAAGCATCATTTATGAAGCAATCTAAGGGAGGTTTGGCTAATGACAATCGCTTGAAATAATTGCAGTTAAAAGTTTAGTTAAATGAAAATTTTAGAGAAAATTACAACAGTAAATTAAATAAATACACATTTCTGAAAATCTATTATCATACAGTGACATAGTAAAAATACTAAATGATAATAAAGTACTAGATACCAAACAAAAACCACATTAGCATACCTGAGATATGTAACCAGGAGGAAGGTATATGGGTGGCAAATTACCGGTTGGTGCTACCAGAGGTACTTCTGCAGGTCCTAAGAGAATTATTAATGAATATTAAACAAGTTCATTACAGAATCCAGTTAACTTTGCATAGTGAAAATCAGCACTGAGCTTCAACAATAGCAATTTTAAAGGATATTGTCACACATTCACAAAGCCTATTGCCAAAGTATAGATGAATCACTGAAAATTCATTTCAACAAATGGAATATAATCAAGGGATAAAATGAGTATAGGCTAAAATATATACTATAAAATATTGGCAAGTTCACTGCAAATGAAAATGAACTATTGGCTTTCTGTTAGTGGTCTCTCAGCGTGGTTGTATTACCTAAAGTTATACTCTGTGTCATAAAATAATTTCTTGCAGTGACATTACCTAATAAAATGAAATAAATTTTATTTTAGGGTTTCCTTCGAATAATATTAAAGTATATAATGTGTGTGTGTGTGTGTGAGTGTGTGTGTGTGTGTAGCAACAATTAATGAAAAAAGAGGCCTGTAAGAGAGCAAGGAGGGGTACATGGGATAGTTTGGAAGGAGGAAAGGGTAGGGGGTAATGATGTAATTTATCATAATATCAAATAAAAGAAACAATTAGGCTGGGCATTGGTGGCGCACGCCTTTAATCCCAGCACTCGGGAGGCAGAGGCAGGCGGATCTCTGTGAGTTCGAGGCTGGGCTGGACCGACAGCCTCCAAAACAATACAGAGAAACCCTGTCTCGTAAAACAAAACAAAACACAACAAAACAAAGCAAAAAAGAAACAATTAGAAAATTGAAACAGGGGCCTGGAGGGATGGCTCAGTGATTAAGAACACTGGCTGATCTTCCAGAGAAACTGGATTCAATTCCCAGCTTCCACATGGTGACTCACAATCATTTGTTAACTCCAGTTCCAGGACATCTGATACTCTCTCTGGACTCTACAAGCACTGCACACACATGGTGCACCGGCATGCATGCAGGTAAAACTCTCATACACATAAAATAAAATAATAAATCTTCAAAAATATTACAATGAACAGGTCTTAGGAATTACCCAATATAGAGAGGGTTTAGTATTATTCATACAATGTTGCACTTTTATACCACACATTCTCAATATATCTCAAACATACCTTTGCATAGCAGCTAAAAGATACAGTACAGATACTTACATGTCATCATTCTTTGGGTTATTTGCAATTATTATAAGTAATATTAAGTCTAAGAATACATGAGTTTTTAAGGTTCTATGATGGTAATTTGTGAGTTCATGATGAGCATTCCATATCAACCATTTAAAACATATTGTTAGATGATATTTTCAGAAATTCTGGAGACACAGGTGCAGAGACAAAAAAGCCAACAAGATAGAAACAGAAATCCCTATACTTTCAAAATCAGACTGACTAATCAGAACTTCACTTCAGATTTGAGATGTCTCAGATAAACATTGAGACTACTTCTTCTTAAAATGATTTAGTTTATTTTGTGTATATGAGTGTTTATCTGCATTTATGTATGTGAACCATGTGTTTGCATGGTGCCTGTAGAGTCCATAAAAGGGTGTTGGATCCACTGACGTTGGAGTTACAAATGGTTGTGGGCTGCCTTGTGACTGCTATGAAATAAACCGGGGTCCTCTGCAAGAGCAAACAGACCTCTTTGACTCCTTAGAAAGAGCATAATTTCTGATGAATCTTACTCCAAATGGTCAGTCTCAAGAAAGAAAATAGGTGCTATGAAATTTACTACTTAACAAAAGAGTTGGATGCTGACTAGCCTATCCAGATATGGACCCATACAAGTGGTGTGAAATAAGACCAAATGACTTTCCTTTAAAAGAACTCGCATTCTCTTCCAAGGGGTGATTCTTTCCCTGAGCATTTTCTTGCCGTGTTTCTGTCTTTGCAGCATATTTTATTTTAGATATTTTTTTGGTAATTTCCCTTATGTATACACTGTATCTTGGTCATATATATGCCCCCCTGTACTATTTCCCTCCAGCTCTCCTTACCCTTCCAACATATCTCCCATTTCCATTTTCATCTTATTTTTAAAACTATAACCAAGTAAGTTCAGTTAGTGCTGCTGGTGTGTGTGTGTGTGTGTGTGTGTGTGTGTGTGTGTGTGTGTGTGTGTGTGTGTGGTTCCAGCCACCGAGGCATGGGCAATCTATCAATGGAAGCCTTCCCACAAAAAGAAGTGACCCTCCCTCAATAGCCATCACCTGCCATTAGCTCCTCAGCTAGGGGTGGGGCATGGAAGCTGGAATTTAACTCTCTTGATCTTGTGTCAGTCTTATGCAATAACCACAGCTGCTGAGTTCCTGTGTACAGCAGCCATGTCACGTCCAGAGGCCAGCCTTTCACAGCACTCCTCTCCATCCTGTGGCTCTTATGTTCTTTCTGATCCTACTTCCAAGATACTCCCTGAGCCTTTTTTTTGTGTACATGCATGCACGTGTGTGTGTGTGTGTGTGTGTGTTGACATGGCTGCTCTGTCTACCACAGAACAGTTACAATTGTTAATTCTAGCACTTTGAAGAGTTATGAGTCTGCATCACCACTACCCTCTTCAGTAAGAAGCTTCTTTGGCTCAGAGCGGCACAAGTCTGTCACTCTCTGGAGTTAGAGAGTTTAGTGTATTTAAATGAATATTTCCTTGTCTGTTGTGTCTGGTAAATACTTTTACCCTGGTGCCTTTGGCTCGCCACTGTTGTTTTTGATACATTTTGGTGGCTGGAAGAACACTGTCTTATTGCCTCTTTTGGTGATTATGGTAGTTAGCCAAGTAGGCTTAGACTGTTTTCAGAGAGATCCAAAGGCTTCTGAGCTCACTAGTATTACTCATCAAGGCGTTAGTTTGGGTCCCTTGCAGAAAGGCTTCTGGAAGTCTCAGGCTAAAGCTATTCTTTGGTGGGAACTGAAGGCAGTGGAGAGGAGGAAAGTCCATTACAAGTCTGCAAGGCTAAGGAGCCATTGTCAACATGTGGTATGGCTGGCAGCCTGTCAAGAAGGAATTCACATGTCCTGTGAGGAGTCCTACTTTTTTGCCTATCTCCTTTTCTCTGTCCCAATGTTTGCTGCTGCTTTCCAAAATGGGACAGAGTAACCTGGTTGCTATCTTCTCCAGGACCATGAGAACTCTCCTTTCCCTCACAACTGTTTTTTTTTCTTTTAAAGATTTAGTTATTTATTATGTATACCGTGTTCTGGTGCATGTAGTTGTGCAGGCCAGAAGAGGGCACCAGATCTCACTACAGATGAAACCATCCCAGAAACCATTTAATTGAACTCAGGACCTCTGGAAGAGCAGCTAGTGTTCTTAACCACTGAGCCATCTCTCCAGCCTCTCTCACAACTGTTTTATGGTTAATTTTGGTCTGTAAGATTTCCTCTCAAGGTTAATCTAGCCCGACTAACTGAAAGGGTATGGTTCTAGAGTGAAACTGTTCCACCTCTGTAAGCAGGAAGGTTCTCTATTCTCAGAGGATGCCCCAGCTTAGAACACACTTCAGACAGGTCAGTACAGTGAAACTGAATCTCACCTATGATAACAGGGAAAGCCCACTGCCCTCAAGAAATACTTTCTGGGTGAACACTGCAACTCTGGTCAGACACCCCTATATTCTCTGTGACTTCCCCTGGGATGTAGTCTCAGAAACTGGTCCCACTCTTAGAAAAAAAATCCTTATTTTCCTTTGTAACAAAATTTGGTCCTTACACCCACTCCCAGATCAAGAGTGCTTGTCATCTCATTGCATATGAAGCTATAACTACATCCTACAGTTAGATCTATTTTGTTGTAATTTATGAAAGACTCTGAGGTTCCTTATATCCAAGTGTTCATGGCTGTGCCACATGATCTCCAGTTGTGAGAGCTACCCTATGTGCCTTAATAGGTTCTCCTACATTATTATGTGACCTCTAAACTTAGTCCTGGGTGATATCCTTGGTAAATTTTCACTTGTGATCACTCAAGTCTCTGCTCAGTCTATGGTTAGTTAGGTCAGGGTTGTGATGAAGTGCCTGATATGTAGCACCACTGGTCATATTAAGCCACTGAATTAGAAACTAGGCTGGGGGAGGATTTTCTAATCCTGTCTATTAGAGGGAAGTTTGAAAGGGACCATTATCAAACTAAATAACTACAACATTTTGTTGGAGATAACACCAGGATGCTTCCAAGAACCCTACTTGCTTTCAGTCTAGAAATATACTGATCTGGCAGCATGTCAGAAATCCAAGCCATGCTAGCTGTACATTTTACAAGTCAAATCTCTCCAGGTACTAGATAAAAGCTTAAAGGAATTCTAATCTCTTGCTTCACTTTGTTAGACATGGCCTTCAAGATCTTAACCATAAGGAGACCTAGAAAATCAAGGAAGCATACTATAAGAGTAAAGAGGAGCAATGTCAGTCCATGGCTGCCACAATTGTCTATTACCTGCTCATATCAGGAAACCCTATGGCTCTATCTGCTAGCCACCATGTTCTGACACAAGGAACTAGCTCATTTATAGGCCACAGGACTTTTTCATGTTATTGCAGTTGCTAGCTTCCCCCAGGACATGTCCAATCTACAAAGTATAGGCCAATGGGAGGCAAGACAGTCCCCCTCTTCCTTGTGAGGGAAGGCCAATTTCCACCCAAAGTACCCATATTCAGATCAAAGCTGAAAAAAAGCCCATGATTTTGTGAGAGAACAAGAGCATGACTCAGAGGTAGCCTCCATTCCAGCCTCAGCTCCTCCTGTCATTAAATTCCAGTTTGAATAGCCCTGTCTTCTTGTGACTAGCAGTTTTAATTTCCCATAGTCAGCTTCCTGCACATCTTAATTGAATCATGACTATTACTTGCCCAACCTGACCTCAGCACCTTTCCCAGCTCTGATAAAACCATAGCCTGTAAGAGAAGTTTGCTCTCTCACCTTCAAAGATGAGAGACCTCCTTAGGTTTATTTCAAAACAAAAGTGTCCACACAGCTGTCAATCTACCTCCTCAGAGTCAGTATCTTCTTGCATCCCAGGAAGCAGATGACAGTA